AAACCCAAGAAGTTCTGGACGGGTTCATTATCTTAAAGCTTAACCAGGAACAGTGATTCAAAACTTCCAAACATTAAAATTGGAACATTTTCTATATTAAAATCTTTTCATCTATAGCCTAGTAAACCAGCCCCACCCACCAGCGGCCAAAATCCTTTTTGCCTGTGAGTGGTCCACCCTCGATCAATGCTCCAGGCCCTGGAACTGGCGGGCCAATCACCAAAGCTGCGCGACGCTGGAAAAAACACAACAAGGAAGATGGCAACAACTACTGAACAGTTCTGGTTTGACTCAGATTTGGAATCAGTTCTGGGAGGATCAGACTTTGGGTTTCCATTGAAACGTGAGCAGGAAGAGGCTCTACGCTCATTCATTTCTAAGAAGGACGTATTCGCCATTTTACCGCCAGGCTGTTTGTTTCCACTCCCCCCCCCCACCACCACCACCACCACCACCAGCTTTCTGTCGCGCTTCCTACGTCACAGTCAGGTTCTCTCATTGGTCAGAGCGTTGGCCAATAGGTACAGACATGGTTTGAAAAACAACGGGTTGTTCTCATCAACAATCTTCTGATGTCTCATTTATCGGGTTCAGACTAAATTACACATTTAATCTGACATTTAGTCTGGTTTATCAGGATATTTCATCTATGGATACAAACAGATATCTGATTTAGTCTTTTATTTTGAAATATGTAAAAACTATTTGAAATTTTTTATCTTATTTCACTTTTAACTTTTTTATTAAATACAAACTTTTATTAAAATGACATTTTTTTATTCTAAGTTTTTATAAAGTTTTTGCTTCCAGTTTGTTCTAATTAAACACCAAAACTTATTCTATGTATATTTTAAAGATTTCTTTATTATTTTCTCTGCTTGCACAATCTGAGAGAAACTTCTTTCCAATTTTTATTAATCAATTTCTAATCAAATTTTGACCTTTAAGATTTTTCCTTCTCTGGTGCTCTATGGAAAGCGGTCCAATAATGTTAGCATTTTAAGGTGCATGTTGGAACCACAGCAGCTGCTTTCTCCTTGTTTCTACATTGATGCTTCTTTCTGGTTTGGGTCAGAAACAGCTGAAACTACCAGCAGCGTCTCAACAGGAAGAAGATGCAGCAGAAAAGACAAGGAAGAAACTAACGTTCAATAAATCAGAGTTAGAGCCGAGGAAAAAGGGTCAGAGACACAAAGATGTGAGAGAGGAAAGGTCCAGATTTCTATGAAACAGGATGTCTGTCCACAGATGAAGACCCCGTCCATGTGCCCCCCCGGGGCCCTTGGCTGCAGCTGATCTTAGAGCTGCTGGATGACGGCAGACCTCAGGAATGTCCTGCTCCTTTAAAACCTTCAGCTGCAGATAAATGACCTTGGAGGTGTTTATAAAAGAACCACGATAACAAATTAGGTCCTGCAGACGCATGGAGCCGAGCACCTGCTCAGGAGGAACAAATCCTCCAGTTTCATCTGGAGCTGGAAGCGGTTAGATAACCCTCACCATCCTCATCATCAACAGACTCCATAGCAGCTCGTCTTCAGTCAGACGAGCCGCTATAGCACAGACAGCTACAGGAGATCCTCCCTGCCTACAGCTAATAAGACGGCTGTGAATAAACTCCTCATATGAGTAAACCTGGTAACTAGAAACCAAAACCACTGAAAAACTCATGAAAAGCAGGCAGGAGGAGCAGCTAAGGGGTTAAACAACATCTTACTTTCCCTTTGGGATCAATGAAGGGTTTAAGATCAAACACCAAATTCTGCAGGTTTCTATTGGCTCAGAACATAGAATCTACTTCCTGGATTTACCGGCTCGACCCATCTGACCCGGAAACAGAATGAACCTTCTGGGTTCTAGTTGATTCTGATTGACTTGAAGTTGAATTGGTGTGTAGAAGGAACCAAACCATCGGAACCAGCACAAGAACTGATTTGGGTTGGAGAGAACAGACTCTGGATGCGGAAACACCCAGAATCCTCTAGCTGACCGTCGGACGACCAGGGATCACATTCCTGAAGAATTCAACTGTATTGTCATTAACTGTCACAGGTACAACAAGTCTCTGCATTGAACCCATCCCTTAGGGATGCATTGTATCAAAGGTTAAGGTCTTGCTCAGGAGACACCGAGTGGCAGTCTGTGGGTCTCAGAACCACTGGAACCTGAGTGCAATGCCGTAAACAGTAGGCCACCCCTCCCCTGCACATCGGATCACTGCAGGAAAAAGCAGCTGCATCAATTCAAACGGAAAAACCGACAAACAGAAACATCCTGAAGGAAACAGGTTTGGATCTTCAACAACCTGAAGCTTCACAGCAACCTTTACCTGAGAAAATTCCACATGTGCAGAAATCAGTTTAGACAGAGCAGTCCAAAATCCACCAACCACCGCAGTCCAGAACCAAAGCTGAGATCCAGCAGATCAGAACCAATGACCACTGATCTACAGCTGATGGAGGAGGAAGGTCCAAACCCTGGAGACACAGAACCACGGTTCTGAAGGGACAGCAAGACGCTCCCAGGAGAAGGAACATTTATTAAACCTCACATCTTCATCATCATGAGCAGCAAGCAGGATCTAATTCATGTTATGATGTTTGCTGCTGCAGAACTCCACTAATTTCTGTTATTTAATGAAGGATCTGCAGCCAAACAACCTTCAACTTAGAACCAAACAATTGATTGTTGAGCTGACACACCCAGAATGTCCCACAGTACCTGAACCTAACACTGATCTGAGCCTGCAGGTCAGCAAACATCCAGAACCGGTCAGAAAGACTCAGAGTTTCATCACAAAGATGATCTGAGGGTCTTCACCAAAGGTTCTGGTTCTAAATGACCAGCAGCTGAAGCCTCTGACCAACAGTTTCAGCGTCTGACCAGCAGCTTCAGCCTCTGACCGGCAGCTTCAGCCTCTGACCGGCAGCTTCAGCGTCTGACCGGCAGCTTCAGCGTCTGACCGGCAGCTTCAGCCTCTGACCAACAGTCTCAGCCTCTGACCA